CCCTTCCCCTTTAATTCTTCCTCCACCCAAACTTTAAAATTAACTGCTTGGAGGTACAGCTGCATTTCTATTCAGGAAGTGCTGAAAGAGTCTATTGACTTCATGGTTCACTGTCATCTTCCAGATTCAGGCTAATCTCTCCCCACTACACAGGTGCTAATGACACTATCCTTTTTAATGGTCTTGATCTTCCATTAGTCAAACTATCCTTTCTTCTGCAATGTTGCTGTCTGTAGCCATTCCTGTGTCTGAAACAGGAGAGACACAGCTTAATATCTACAGATTGTCAGATACACTGTACAGCAATTTCTCATTTTGTTTTAGGGAAGGAAAACCTAGGACTGTCTATTAATCACTTTGGTGATGGTTGTGGAACAGGGACTAGCTTCTGATGGTGATGAAGTGTACCTTTTGAATCCATAACAAGATCAGTAGGAAGAGAAGAAATTGGAATTATTGATTGTGACATTGTTTGGTTGATTGGTTTTCCTGACACCTCTGAGATCTAATAGGTTTTCCATGAGTTCTTACATTATTAGGATGGCATGAAAATTGGAAGCAATCTCTTTTGGAAGAGTTATTTTAAAATAATCGATGAGGAAAGATTTGTTGACCATGTGTAATGTTTGTATTTTTACAGCTCATGCAGGCCAAGGTGAAGCCCTCAGTCTTATTAGGCTAAGATTCAACTAGTTGCTATTTTGAAAGATTTTGTTTTAAGTGTATTTGGCCAGAAGATGTATAGTGCAGCCTCCCCAATTTTCTGTCTAGCCCACCTCAGCCCCCCCACCAAGAAGAGGTTGGCGCCACCCCTGGAACTAAGGTTTTAGAGCAGGGGTGGGCAATTATTTTGGGCAGAGGGGCGCTTACTGAGTTTTGGCCAGCCATTGAGGGCCGCATGACAGGCAGCCCAGGGCAGATGAATATAAATTTTCTCAATTTTCTAGGGGCCCCGTGGGCTGGATAGAATGTCCTGGCGGGCCACATTTTGCCCAGCCCTGCTTTAGAGTATGGGGGTACACAAGTCTCAGGGAAGAAAGTGTCATTTTGGGGTCTGTAGTGACTGTAGGATTACACCATGGGTGCTTTGGTGATACCATAGTTTATAAGTTATTAAATAAATGATGAGTGATTTGAAACTTCTGAGTCATTAAGATTAGCTTTTGTTGAAGTGTGCAGAATAGTCCCTTCCTTCTTGTGTTTAGAAAACTACTGTACTATTATATCACTTTCTTGGTCCTGAACACTTTTATAACTAAAGGTTTTCAAACAGTTTAGGATTAGACTGTGACTGTTCTTAATGCAGCCAGGCAGGAGAAATATGAGACATAAGACATGTCCTCTGACTTGGCCTTAAAGGCCAGGTATAGGTGTTACACACAAACTGGTATATTATTACACACAAAGTGCTCTGCCCCTGAGCTGCCACAGAGCCATGTCAGCACAATGGCTGATGCTGTGTGGGTGCGGGGCAAGGAGGGGGGCGGAATTTCACTATGCCCTGCAGCCTGGTCAGGCTTCCTGGTGCAGTGTCCATTTGAAGGGCATGTAGGTGCCTGTGTGTGTGTGTGTGAACCCACCTACAGACTCCCCCATGCACCTGCTCACAGGTGCAATGCCAGGGAGAAGCCTGGCTGCAAATCCCTGTGATTGTTGCTGATGGTGGGGTGGGGTGCTTCACTGTGCCCTGAAGCCGTCAGGCTCCCTGGTGCTGTGTCTACTTGCGAGGCATGTGTGTCCCTGGGTGAGTGTGAATATCTGTTCTGTTTACTCCTGACCTAACTTTGGGTGCTTAAAGTGTGAAACCTAGACCTCTTCTGCCTTGTGCTTTTTGAACATCTGTACCTGACCCAAGTGTTTGCATTCCAGATAGAGGGTGACTATGGATAAGTCTCTGTGTTGTGTTTCTCCTCCTGAGGCTAGGGGAAGAGGTGGGATTCCTCTATTTTATCATGAATGCAGGTCTGCTGGGTGTTTTTTCCATGCCTCAGCTCCTGTAGACAAGTGATGACCTCAGTGTGATCCAGCTGACCCAGTATGTTTGGACTTCCAAAAAGTCCCATTTCCAAAGCTCATAGTGAAATTGGATTGTAGTGTAATTAGAGGGACTGTCCATTTGCAGGTCAGAAATTGGCTTAAGAATAGAAAATTAAACATGGGTATAAATTATAAGTTCTTGGAGTGGAAAGACATAACCAATGGAGTCCTGCAGGATCTGTGTGGGGACTGGTGCTATTTAATATATTCATAATTGACCTGGAAAGGGGGTTTAATAGTGAGGCAGTCAAATTTTGCAGATGATGCAAAATTATTCAGAGTGGTAAAGACTAAGGTGAGCTATAACTTACAGAAGGATCTTGCAACATTGAGTGAATGGGCAACAAAATGTTAAATGAAATTCAGTCTTCATGACTGCAAACTGAGGCATGTTTTGGGGTGGGGGGAATAATACAAAATTATACTTACATAATGATGGGCTCTACATTGACTGTTACCACAAGGAAAGGAATCTTGGAGTCATTGTGGACAGTTCACTAAAATACCATCTCCGTGTTCACCAGCAGTGAAGAAGGCAAATCAAATGTTACAATTCCCTTCTTGGTAATACCTAAACCAAATGGAAAATATATAGTTCTCTCTCTCTCTAAATCTATGGTGAATCCACACCTTGAACACTGTTTGCAGTTTTGGTCCCCTTACCTCAGAAAGGATATGGAAGAACTAGAAAAAGTATAAAGAAAGGCAACAAGGATGGTTAGGAGTATAGAGGGGCTTTCATATGAGGCACCAACTAGCCCCTGCTCTGCCCCCAAGTTGTCACATAGCCAAGTCAGCACAATGACTAATGTTGACAGGAGTGGAGGGAGGGCTGCTTTGTTTTGTGGTGCTGCTCCCATTCACAGGGCATGTGGGTCCCTTGGCAGGTGTGTGTGAACCCACCCAGGGACCCCCATGCACCCAAGAGCGGGCGCAGTGCCAGGGAGCAGACTGTCTCTAGTGGGTTATGGAATAGAAAAGATTCCACACAACTTACTGATTCACTTGATGCACTGGCTGGGGAAATTTTTAGCTCCTTGCACGATTTCACAATGATTACACACTTAATTCATACAACACAATTTTATTTTAAAATTCTTTGCTACACATATAACACTGCTTAGCTTTAAGAAATACCACAAACATTAAGAACACAATAACTACATATATCAGAAACAATGCTCCAAATGCACTTCCTTCCCAAACAATGCTATAAGAATTAATATTACAAAAACAACTACAATTACAACTCACAGTTAAATTTGAATCAATACTATTATTTTCATGATATACTTACAATCCTAGAATTCCCAGAAGCCAGACATCTAGATATGCTTTCATTCCTCAGTAGTACGGTTCAAAGGGCTTGCATCAGCTGTACAGTTCAATGGGCTAGCCTCAATACTGATAGGACTAAGTCCCCTTCCTTCAGTCCCTTTCGGGCGCTTTGCAGCTTCAGCGTGACCTAAGAGATTCGTGTTCACGGAGAGGGTGGTTCAGGTGATCAGTCTGATCCGGCCTACACTTGCGATTCTTCCTTCGTTGTTCTGCAAGTGAGGTTACCTCCAAATTGGGACAGTAGGTTACAGTTTTTATTGAGTGAGTTGCCGTCTTGGGCCCCTCCTACCCAAACCTGTCACTACTCCCAAATTTGGGCTCGGATCTTTCTCAACAGATTCTTTTGCTTGGTAATCAGTTTCTTTGGTTGATCATTTAATTACTTTGGGGAATTTCCTTTCTTTCCAAACTTTTCAAAGGCTCCTAGGGTTTGATTTCTCGGAATTTCTTAAGGGTCATTTTTAGGTTAACTTTGTTTAAAGGCCTCTAAAGATAAAATTCAAGAGTTAAGACTTTGAGCAAAGCCCAGACCTTCTGCACGTAGGCCAAAACAATGGTCTAGATAAGAAGATGAATCTTGTCTTTTTCTAAACTGGCTAATGGGCAACTATTACAAACATTCAGATATTACATTCAGTATGACAGACCAGTTGCAGATCTCTGTGACAGTTGCTAATGGGGGTCTTTTCAGCTTGGAAAAGAAATGCTTGAGAGGGGACATGATAAAAGTTTACAAAATATTGAATGGTGCAGAGAAGATAAATCAGGATTTATTAATTACTCTCCCAATACTGCAACTAGAGGACAAAATTAAACTAGGAGCCTTAAAACTAGCTAAAGGAAGTTGTTTTTTCGCACACTGTAATCAAATTGTGGAACTTATTTTTGGAAGAAATTATGCAGGCTTGTGGTTTAACTCGGTTCAAAAAGGGATTGGATCAATTCTTAGAGGAAAGAACAGTAGGCACTGAAGATGGTAGACAGGGATGCAGCCTCTGAATTGGAACTTGCTAAACTTTTGGTGGGTTAGTCTGATCTTTAAAAAGGATGAGAACCACTATACTAGATGCAGTAATGATAGCTTCTGTGAGCTGCTACCCTAGTGGAGCTGGTTGTGTCTGCTCTGGATCACAGTCCAATTTACATCCCTGTACAAGACATTACCTCCATGTAAATGTGTTTTCTGTCCAGGCTGTTAGATGATAACGTGGCTCATGGAGAGAAAATTATATTTTTGCAACTGTTACTTTTCTGGCTTTTATTTACACCCTTTGCAAAAGCCTAGTACAGTGGTTTTCACCCTGTGGTCTGCAGACCCATGGAGTCTGCAGACTATGTCTAAGGAGTGCGCGAAAGATGACTATGATCAATCAAAAGTATGCAAGTATCCACATTTACAGTACAAAGGTGTCCGCACCTCTATTTGAAATTTTTTAGGTGTTTGCAAATGATAAAAGGTTGAAAACCACTGGCCTAGTACATGGTAAATTATAGGATAGTGCTACATATTTTAAAGTTTTTATCTAGATATAGATATTTTTATCTTTCATATGTGGTGTGATGCATTATTCTGTCAAACATGCTCTAGTCTGATAGGCCTTTTTCTGCTTCTGTGTTTTTGACAGGACATGGAAGACATTAGCAATGATGGAAAAAAGTTGCATGGAAGACAATACTGAGAACTACTTAGCTTGTTAATGCCAAATACAGAAGGCTACTTGGGTATTGGTTCAGTGTGGAACAAAGGATCTTTTTTTTTTCTTAATCTTTACAAATAATTATGTCCAAGAAAAGCCGTGCCAAGGGAGAAAAGCCTGACATGGAGACTGAAGCACTTCAGGCTGCTAATGAGGAGCTTCGAAGTAAACTGACCAACATCCAGATAGAGTTTCAGCAG